GACTTTGCAAGATCTCATTTGGACTCCCTAGGGCCTGAAACGGTTGTTGATGTATGGATGACTACGAAGTACCCGTGTTGTCTGTATGTCAAAAGGGATTCAAGTGACCAAATCAGGCTATGCAACATCAGGAGTGGCATATCTAACATGATCCGGGGAGAAAAGATTAAGAAGGGGGATGGACTGGTGGTGCAGATGATTTCCAAATCTCCACCGTCTTTCAAGGTGTCGTTTGCATAGGCCATTATTGTGCTTTTTCGGTCTTGTTTGGAAATTGTAATACGTCTACTATGTCTTGCTACATTGTCAGTTGCTCTTTTTTTCATGAACTCTATACATTAGATGTATCTTAACGTCGACTTTATATTTACTTATAAACTCTTATATAATAATTTGACTCACATTGGTCACGTATCAAGGAGTTTAGATTAACTCGATCAACACAATACGAGCTAAATTCTGGAAAATCGGGTTTGACAAACTCAAAAAAATAAATGTACTAATGACTTATGTCGTAATAGAATGGAGATAAACAACACTGAAGTTGGTCATAATTTTAATGTAAATTATTCCTTTTTTTTTTTACAACCTCAAATTAATTGTAAAATTTATTAAAAAATTGAACCGAAGTACAACAACGCTTATGTAGTAAGGCATAACACGAAGAAGGATGTAAACAGATAATTGCATCATTTAGCAAGAGCTTCGTTTAAACCACAAACCCCCAAACGTCACATATCATATAGCCCCTGACATCACCATTATCAAACACTTTCCCCCTTCTCGACTGCACTTTATCCTTTGTTTCCCCTTAATTTCCTTTCTCCACACACGTAAATTCTTCTTTGCCAAAAAATGGAAAACAAGTGCGATTCAACTCCTAATCTCAAGGGCATGGAAAAGAGAAACACAGATGAAGTAAACAGCAAAGAACGGCTGAATTCGAGGTTGTTGAGGGAGGCGGAACATCACCGGGTTGTTGTACGACCACCACAAGAAGATAACCGAGTCGGGGATGGAGAGTAACAGGAAGATGATCCTTCATCTGAAGAAGAGGGCTCTGAATATGGGGATGACTGCTCCGATGACTCTGACCATGAAGCCCAGGAGCCACATGGTATTGACATAGAAGATGACCAGGAGCCAGATGATCACATTCTTCCCCCTTACTTTTCTGGTTCGGGAACTGATGATGATGATGAATCTGATTCGAGTTCAAGTGATTCTGACGCTTATGGTCGCTCCCCCAGCAACTTCTACAACATGGTGTAGGCCTCGATCTCTTTGCTCTGTTGTTTTTTGGAAATGTAAACAATATTTTGATGGATTTGGATTTTTAAGATTTAACATAGTTTGGTTGCCTTTTTCATGGATTTATTTTGGTTTTTAAGATTTTAGCTATGTTTGATTGCCTTTTAGTGTTTCTGTAATCTGAAAACATCAACTCGGCAATTAAGGGGTTAAAGTAATGTTTTAATGTATAGGTTGATTAGAAAGTTGCTTTTATCGAATGGTTTATGGACTTATGGTATGTGTAATGTTTAATGGTTTATGTTGATTAAAAATTTGCTTTTACTTAGTTTGAATGGTTGTTTGTGGAATGTTATTTACTGGATTAATTTAGTAATCTTCATTCATCCTGCCAAATTTTCATTCATCATGACGATCTGACGTGTTACTCTCTCTCCAGTTATGTAGTTAAATGAACCTAAATATTAATGTCTTTATAGTTTGTACTAATCATTTTCAGAGAGGTAGGATTTAGAAGTCTATGATTGAAATCAAACTAATATGCAACGTAGTATATTATTTACGAATTACCTATTGCATTCAATCCAATGGTACTTAATCTTTTGAATATGACTAATAAGATGTGACTTGGCCCAACTTTAATAACACTGAAACAAGGTACAATTGAAACAAGTTATAGTAGATTGAGTGATTGACTACTAAGATGTTACACGCCCAATTTGGCACACCTCTATTTGGTAAACATTCTTTATTGTGAAACAAGTTATAATAACACTAAATTCACTAATGAGATGTAACATTCTCAATTTGGCCCAATATTTTTTGGTACACGTAGTATATTAATTAAACATGTTATAATTAAAAAAAGTTACAGTCCATAGATTGAATAATAAGAGGTCAAAGACCCAATCTGGGGGAATTGGTAATTGGTAAACGTAGTACTTCGTATATTATTGAAACATATTATAAGTGATAATCACATTTAACATGAACTAGTTTACATTCATTAAATGAGTAGGGATTTGGGTCAAAACACAATGGTTTACATACATAACCTATTTTATATGGCCCAAATATTATATGGAGTGAAAATCTAGGCCTCACCATTTGTGAATTTTGACCCATGTTGCTATATTGGGCTTCACATACTTAAAAATTGCAACATTGGGCTTCCCCTAATTCAGCTAAATTTTATACTAAATTATGCAATATCAATTATTGTAATTTGGGATTAATGATAACAACAAACAAATTTTCCTTTTTTTACCGTGTAATTAATCTTTGTAATGAAATGCAATAACGACTAATGCCTAATAGGTTAATGTGGAATTAATTAATTACATAGCTGAGAATATGCGGTGTAAAAGTTGGTAAAACAAATTAAAACAAAGTTAATATCAATACATTAGTTTTTTGAAAATTCTATACATTAATTTTTTAAAATTATAAATATTCAAAATTTACAAGGGGTAGTCCGTAGTTGCATTTCGATACAAACATAAATTTTTTTAAAAAAAATTTAAATCAATCTTTAAAATGGGTAGGTGCATTTATGGCACATGGGGTTGATGTAGAGGCAAATACTCTAATAGCAAAATTGTGCCATAACATCCTATGTGTACCATCCATCACAAGTTACTTGCATTAGTGGAAAATGGATGAGTCACAACATAGGGTATTACCATTTTGCCCCCTATTTAATGATGGAAAAGTCGTTTATACCCTCTTGATTGACAAAATAAATTGATCAAGAAGATCAAGTTGTATTTTGCCAGAATTTAGTGAATAAAGATTTTGTAGAAGGTAACCTACAAATAGAGGAATAATTGAAGATGGATACAAAAGCCATCATATATTTACAAAATGGATACATGGAATATGTTATATTTAGTAAGGGGCAGTGTCTTATAATCTCACCTTCAAGAGACAACGATTGAGATTCAAGTGGCAATCATACAATTGTGTACCCATATTTGGCGATATCAAGCCTCTTTTCCTCTAAGTTTTTCTACAAGTGTAATTTGTGAGACTCTAAAGTGAACAAAATAAACTTTAAAGTAAACCAATTAGCTCAATTGGTAGAGCACTATACGGATGCATAGAGGTGTAGGTTTGATTCCTACATAGGTTATCTCTAAAAGTAAATATAAAACACTTTAAAGTTATTAAAAATGCCTCAAAAATTGTAGGCTTAGAAATAAGGATGAAATAGCTAATATATCCTAAATAAAAAAGCATAATGTAAATAAGGATGAAATAGCTAATATATCCTTCACGATTAGACCAAAAATTGTACGCTTAGCAATCTTTTACTCAAATGAGTGAAAAGCTTCAGGCAGTCTGTTTGGAGTACTACTATACGAAGGCCTGCATGAAATGCTAATTGTAATGCATGTCTTGCACCCAGGGCTTCAGCCACCTCCACATTGAAGACTCCTTCCATCTTTAGACAAGTAGACAGCACATATCCTACATTATCCCTCACTACTCCCCCTATACCTATGCAACTTCCATTGAACACAGCTGCATCACAATTAATTTTGTACATATTTTTCTCAGGGGGCACCCAATGAGCAGGAGAAGAACAACTTCCTCCTTTAAATCTCTTATTCTCATTCGCACTTCCATACTCAGCCACCCAGTTTATTGCTTTGTTCAACACTTCCATTATATCAATTTTTCGCTTATTAAAAACCCAAGCATAATGTATAGGTTTTCAAGTTAAAAGTAAATAAAACAGTACCAAAAGTTAATTAAAGGAGATCGAGCTCTGCCAAGGATATTAAACTTTGCGGACAAGAGTTTACAAACAAATGCTCAAGCCATTAGATGGGTTAAGCCTACCTGCTATGTGAGCAACACCATTACCCCCTGTACAGGAGAAGAGAGCAAAATTAACTTGCAGCAAGTGAATATCTTCATAAATCAGATCAATAGAAGCCCTTCCATGTCTGCCCAAGTTTATAGACTTCACCTCAGTGGCAACATCACACTCAAGCCCTACACGTTGGTATAATAGCCTCTTAGCAACCACCAGCCCCATACGCGTAGCTAATGCTTCAGCAGTAGCCAACCCATAGCAAATCTTCATTGTACGCACCAGGACAACAACTAGCGCACCCTTGTCATCTCTGATAACAGCCCCTAACCCAATACTCCAGCCTACAAAAATCGCAGCATGAGTACACTCAGAACAGGGTGTGAATAATTGTTTCGCTGCTAGCATTGCAGATGGAACATGATTTATCTTGAACAATGTGGTGATATTAGAGTGGTTTTTGACAGCCATTAAGCCCTTACAAGCTTTCCGCAAGAAGTGTCTCAATTTTGGTGGACCCTGGCCTCAAAATTCCAATGCCCTTCCAGTGATCTTCATCACCAGTTATCAGAGTCACGTTATTCACAGCAGATAAACCCCCCCCTCCCCTCCCCGCAAGTCAGATTTTACAGAAAAAGAACCATCCTTTGTGAATCCCCAATAGAGTGCATCATTTGGTAGCCTTCGTGACAGAGGAATAGCAAGTATATTCTAGCAGATTTCCGGCTCAAAGTTTGTACAAATCAGTTATTCGAAATATCTTAATAGTAATTTAAATTAACTAAAAAGTCAATTAAAACACTTTAAAGTTATTCAAAATATCTTAATAGTAAATTAAATTATCTAAAAAGTTAATTAAATTAGCTCTAAAGTATTTTTAACAATAAAATTAGCTGTAAAGTATTCGATCAATAAAATTATCGTAAAATGACTAATCAATATGCAAACTTTATTGTAGCACAAAAAATCTCTGAGTAATTGACTTTTATATCCTAACAAAGTGAGTAAAAGTTATAAGAAAAAAATATAGAGTTCAATGTAAAGGATTTCAAGTTATAAACAAATAAAATAATATCAAAAGTAAACAAAAACAATAGAAATCTAATTAATCACATAACTAAACTTAACTATAAAGCTTAGTCTCTGAATTACACATATAAACCTACGTGGGATTCTAAGCCACATCTTTTGTGCAATTGCACAATGCTTTACCTTTCGAACTAGTAGGCTAATGTATAGTAATAAAAAATTACTCAAAAGTAAATAAAAAAAAAAATCTATGCCCCATTTTATTATTGTAAGTACAGTGTACACATTACAGTGAAGTCCAAAATCTGAAAGCTAGCCTCTTTCCATTTGTTTCTAGCATTGAATACACATCACCCACCAAGCTCCTTCGCCCACCCAAACAGTACAACAACAACCGACACACAGCACCACACCCTTTGCCCCGTGCTCCTTGAGCATATATAGCCACACCATTTGCACAACGCCCAAGGCAGCCTGTAAATAACTACCATCAACATAAAAGTAAATAAGACAAACTCAAAAGTAAATAGAATTTCACTATCTAGATAATTCTCCAAGCTATCACAAGTTAGCAAAAAATCCAATTTGAAAAGAATGACACCACTTTGAAACCATGAGGCATAATCTAGGTAGCTGGCCAAACTATACTCAACATTAGCAATTTGTAAACTTCCAAGAGCCACAACTTATATAATCACCTCATTCTTGACCCTTGGTCTTAGAAATGCTCTTTGCACAATTCTGACTGAATCCTTGAATATCAGTCCATAAGCTCTAGTCGTGCCTTCCCAAGCACTGCATCAACACTAATAAAATGAAAAGAAGTTGTACTGTTAGAGGATATTTAATCAATAACGATGTATATTGTATTTTATTTATCTATAGCCTATGCTTCGGTGTAATAAAACAGAAATATGGCCTAAAGTATCATGTCAAACCTCCTGTCCAGACTATGATAGCCTATATCTATTTTAGTCCTATATTGTAGCCTCTGGATCTTGGAATTATATTAACTATATTGTAATTTGTAATCTAAAACAATGATATGAGATAAGCTACTGACTACTAACCAAAAATAAGATTATTAATGAAAAAGAAGATGAATTAAACTATGAACTAAATGCATTATAAATGAAAGAAAAGATGAATTAAACTATGAACTAAATGCACCTAATGGTAAAGATTGTTTGTGAACACAGATGAGCAGTTAAGTTCTACCTTGATTTAATTTAAAATAAAAAAAATCCCAAATTTATGCAAATCAATCGAATAGTTTGAAATAAATAACTACTACAATGTAACTCAATTGCACTCTGAACCCTAATTAGTACTCCAATTCTATTAACTAATAAATTCAAATAATTCACCAATCGATCACAAAACTCAAAACTAAATACTCAATCCAACCACATTCATCCACTACCAAAACCTAACTATCAAATTCACCATCAAATGAGATATTGAAATCAAAATTTTCATTAAAAAATTGTAATAAAAACAAATAAAATTCGAACACACAAACATATAATTTAAAAAGACCAAATATATCAATTGAACTCACAAAGTATTCAATCATAACCCATAATTTCGTAATAAAAATCGCAAAAAACTTGTTTTAAAATCGAATTAAAGCAACGACACAATCAAACAAATTACTTTTCATCATCGACAATAACCAGCTAAGAAATTCAATTTACCAAATCAAAGAATACGGAGCGAAGATCGAAGGAAAAATAATCGCTAGAGAGAGAATTCATAGTATACAGATAAGAGAGAAAGCAAAAAAAAAAAAAAAAAAAAAAAAAAGAACTCTGGATAGTATCGGATAGATTTACCAAAATGCCATTACTCTAGCAAAAAAGCGAACAGCATCCTAACTGTCAGATAAAATGAATCAATGGCTCAGATGAGTTCCTAGTTCCTATATATAAGAACTAGGAACTCATCTGAGCCATTGATTCATTTTATCTGACTTAAGGAGTGCTCAGGTTTACTTACCAATTCTCGTCGTTCGAACAACATTTCGCCTATTTATGGACTTTTCTCGACTTTTCGCACTCGCTCGTTTCCTATAGTGTTTCAAGAAGCGTTTTGATAATAGGAAGGCTAGAAGAATTAAGAGAAGAGAGAATTATGGAGGGGTTTTGCCATGCTCCAAGAAAAGAGTGTTTTTTTGAATGATTTTCGTGAAGAATAAGGACGAGTGAAGGGGGGTTTATATAGGTGGGGAAGCTAGGGTTTGGAGGCCTTTAGCGCCGCGGAGAAAAAGGTGCGCGCAACCTATCCGATCGCGTTAGACGGTTGCGCGCAACTTTACTGGCTGCGTTGACTAATAGCGCGCAAGAGGATGTCTTGCGCTTGCTGAGATTATCAATCTTCTTGTGATCTTTTTTATTTCCAGGATACGGATGCTGCGTGCGAGAATCGGATATTGTACTGTGCTGTTGACCAAGTCAAGTGAGCAGCGCTAACACGCTCAGCGTTGCCTAATCAGCAACGCTGGAAGAATTTATTCTAATACTCTATGCGGAACTTAGCGCATTCTATCCAAATGCACGTGCCTGCTGCGCTCAACAAATTGGACTACATTGGCCTGTTGCGCGTAAAAATTTTGGTTGCGCGCGACATTATTTTCCGTGTAAAGGCTTTGGGCCTTAGGCATAATCTAGCCTATTATTTAATTCGTACAAGTCAGAAGTTTATTTTTGAGGCTTTTGAAAGGCTTTGAGATACTTCCATCTATTTACAGGGTTTGCATTGAGGTTTGTGGATCCACGATCCATTTTTTCACACTTTATTCAATCCATAAAAGTTCCACACTGCTCGAATCTAGGGAAATTGGTTTTGCTTTCGTCATTGCACTCTCCGGCGAGACAGGAGGCTAAAAGTAGATGTCTACAGTTAGCCTCCACTTTGACCAAGTCTTGAAAAGACGATTGTCAAAGTAGCAAAGAAGTATAAGATACTTCAAGGCTGGAACTAATTAGCTTGATGTGAGCCCACAGTATGTGAGGTTTAAAGTGAACCTCGGTGCAGCAATGAGCCTATCATGGGCTCAATTGATGCCATTTGACTAAAGGGATATTACTGAAGAAAACAATGTATTTGTTACCCTCTCGAAATGTCATCGAAGGCTTAGGGAACTCTCAAAAATGTCATTGAGACCCTAGTCCAAAGGTGTGCGACAAATGAATTTTGAAAACGATATTTAAAAGCCAAAACATTGAAAAGGCGGAAGTCATTGGAAGGATTTGCAAAATGATATTCAATAGCTTTTAAAATACTGGAAGATGGAAGTAAATTGTAATTTTTGGCCGAAGAAAACGTTTGGAAGAAATGAGCATCTCGAGTTAATGGGGATTTCACAAAATAAATCACCTCAAGTCAGTGGAGGTGTGGGAAGAAAGGCATAGCACCTCAAGTTAGTGGAGGTGTCGGGAAGCAAAGAAAAGGACCTCGAGTTGATGAAGGAAGCAAAGTAAAATCCTTGAGTCAATGGAGGAAGTAAAGTAAAACCTCGAATCAATGGTAGGAAGTTAAAACACCGGTGGACCGTTCTCAAGTTAATGGAGGAATCAGTCGGAAGCAAAATGCTCCCTAAAATCAATGGAGGGGTGCATCCATCTATCAAATCAATGGATAAATCAGTGGAAGAAAGACGTTCCTCAAATCAATAAAGGAATGACCACCTTCTCCACGTCCATTAGGAGATGCCAAACATTTTTAAAAGCCGCTCAAAATGTTCATAAAGGCATGCAATGCGAATGCTTTAGTCAAATGAAATGAAAGAGGTAAAATATGTAGACGGAAAGGGGAAATAAAGTGTAATGAATTTTGAGAAAAATTTTGTCGCAAACATGTGTGAGGAAGCAATCCACTATGCCTAGCAATTAGAAAAAACAATGTTTAAGGAGGAATAAAAATTTGAGCGCTGTCAAACTCAAGAGAATCGACCTAATGCTATGGATTAGGCTTAGCTATTGCATATGGTCCAATGCATTATGTTTAACTATGTTCAAAACGTTTCAAGTACGAACATTAGTAAATTGTGTCATTTGAAGTCTTTGTTTGCTCTTGTTATAATCGTACCTTGCTAATTGAAGGTTAAGTTTCAAAAGGTAAGCCCCCAATTTAGCAATATAAGTTTGGAAATGAAGCATTTTTTTCAGTTGTAGTTCATAAATGTAGTACAAACTTGCTTAAGATAGGAGTAAAAGCGAAAGGATTGCTTTAGGCACTTTATGATTTGATCATAGGAAAATGTAAAGTATTTTATTTCCATTTTCCATGTCATGAGCACTTCGGACTAGCTTGTCTAGACCATGGTTAGGTTATGCTAGAAATGAGAAGTATTTAGAGCCCTTTTGTGAACGAAATTGCACATTTAGGCTTGTCTAGGAAATCTTAGTACTCTAGGATACCAAGATATGCTTTTCCAATTTGTTAGCCTCCAAGTGTATGCTTGGGGAACTTTGGTATTAATTGGTTATCGTACACCTGTCAAAAATAAATTCCTAACAAAACTTAAACTACATGTTACGTGTTGTGATAGAAAAGTAGTCTAAATTAAGAAAGGAATAAAAAATAAAAAGACCTAGGGTTAGGTTCACCATATTTATAGTTCTAATATATCAAATGTCAATACTAATTCAATCAATCAATTATCTAGAGCAATTGCTATGCCTACGGTCGGGTCATAATTCTCTCAATTCAACATATGTAGTTCAGTCGCTAACATAATCAGAATTGCTAATTTTAGGTAAGCCTCTAAAAGTAAGATCTTTCAATTTAAACTCTTATTAACAATTACTAATCAAACAATTGATCAGGTTGCAAGATTAACAATTAAAGACTATCAATTAGAGAAATCAATAATCAAAATATTAATAATATCAATCAAGATTCATTATATAAACATGGATTCCCAAACCCTAGAATTAAACTACTCTAGCATGAAATAAATAATTATAACTAGATATAACAAATAAAGCATAATTAAAATCAAGAAATAGGTATAAAATACCTTAATTGAAATAATAAACCCAAGAATCATCCATGGAGATGCCATGAGAAACTAGGGTTCAAGAGTAATCTACAATGAACGTAAAATAATAAAAGGCATAAAATGGCATAAGGGAAAATAAAAATCCCTTGGAGTCTTTATATTATCTTAAATTCAATCTAAAAATAATTAAAGAAAATAAATAAGAAAATATAAATTACATAAGTTGAAATACTATTGGACGATAGAAGATGATGTGTCACGTAGAAGATGACGTGGCATGAATAAGATCGATGGAATCAAGGGACAAGTGAGGATGTGCAGCGATGAAGCCTCGTGGGCTAGTCATGCACTCGCCAAATCCTGTGGGCACGGGATTGGCTGCGACCTGGCAGAAGGTACGAAGCTTCGAGTGGGCGCGGGGTATGGTCGCAGGGTACAATGCTCAAATTGAAATAGCCATAACTTCTGTTCTAGGAGTCATCTTGGGGATTGTAAATGCTCTTCAATCTTGTTTCCAATACAACTTAAATCGCTTCAATACAATTTGTAAAACTCAAGTTATGACCAAAAGAGTGGACAAAGGTCAGTTTTGACACTTTGCAAACCATTGTTTTTCTTCGTTCCTAACTCAAATTAATTTCCAAAAGATTCACAGCGACCCTTGTGGAAGCTTTATTCATTCCTCACGTATATCAATCTCAACCTAGGCTTTAACAAGCGCATATCTTTCATTGAGCAACCTCGAGTTATCGAATTTTCATCCTTTTATTGTCCGATTCTTCCAAAACCACTCCAAAAGAGTCCAAGTTATGAAAACTATCTGAAAAATTAAGAAAACACAAACGAAGCGTAATAAAGGAAAAAATGGACAACTTATTATAATATGATCTAGAAAGCGACTATAAGACCTAAAAAGAAATATACAAATAGCATAAATATGTCTATAAATCGTATATAAATATGATTCATTAGGTATGTGTGTGTTTATTATTTGTTTGAATCCCCCACATTTACAAGTTGATTTTGTTTTGTGGTGCACATGCATATTGTTAGGTTATCTGTCAGGCTTCGAATCCCCTGATTTTTGTTGGGTGACTCTAATAAGAAATTTACCAGATCTCGTGCGTTGTCTTTTGAGACTCGATATGTTAAGTAGGATGTTTACAATTTGAGTGTATTAGCTCAAATTTTATGCATTTCTTTGCTATTCTCTCGCTTTTCGTTTGGTTTGGCTTGTTTTGTAGGTGTGTCGGGATTTTTCGAGGCTCAAATATCGAGGAGGAATCCCAACACAAGCTTTAGAAGTCAACAAAATCGAGTTCGGAAAGTTAGAGTATAAGCACATTAAGTTAGAAGTCAAGGCAAGTTTGATTGGGCAGGTTGCTTGTGCAAGAACGCATGCCCAAGTATTGAAGAAGAAGGATCGTATCTGTGCTGGGGAGACAACCTTTGCTCGCCCGAGTGGCATGACCTGCCCGAGAAGTCCTCGCACATAGCACCAGTCGCGCAAAGCCCTGTGCGCAAGCAATGACCCTCATCCGCAGCCCCGCTTAAGCAGCAGCTCAGGTAGGGCACACAGGCTGCTCAGCCAAGATTGCTCGAGCCAAAAGTGGGTTTGCTCGGCCCGGAAGCTCTGCTCTCTTAAGCTAATGAACCTGCCTGAGCTGCCCTGCATTGCGATTTATGCTCGATTTTACTCTATTTCTCTTGTAACTATATAATTGTACAGACCTTCTATTTTTGGGGAGACTTTATTTTTTAGAATTTTTAAGAGATTAGAGAGGCTAATTAAAGAGAGAAACTAAAGAGAGTTAGTGTAGATTTCAACATTTGATCTTCAATTCAATTC